TCTGTTTCTTTGGATTCTACTTACCTGAAGATGAAGAAACAGCAGAGCTTACTTTAAAAATGAGACACCCTTTCTACCATCCCAGTACCTGCCAGGACCACTTCAAGGCCAGCCTGGGCTACATATCAACACCGTGTCCCAAATGAGAAAAGAAACAGATACAGATAGAAGTATATGCACATGTACACTCCCTCCTCGTTCTTCCTCCGCCCTCTCTCATACACACATTTACACACTCATACATATGCATACAAAGAAGCACACATGTGTGTGTACACACATAGAGATTTTATGGTTCTTCAAATATACTGACTGTGGAATGTTTCCAGTAAGGCTGTGCCCCTTCCTACCTTACACTCTCCTTCAACAGACAAATTCAGACCAGCCTTTTTTTTTTCTTTAATAATTTTCATTCTGATTATAGAGACTCTAAGCCACATATCTATGAATGCAGACATTATGAGTCAGTTTACCTTGTTCTTTTTCTTCAGCGAAAGGCATAAGAATAATTTCTTCTGCTTGCAACATTAAAGTAGGAGTTTAGTCGATCTGAGGATACCAGGAACCTAGTACATTCAAGGTCTAACTAATTTTAAACTCTTGAAAACTCAAGTCTCTGGGGTGTTGGGATGAAGAATACAAGCTGTAGAGCAGAGATGTGATAGGGCAGGATTCAGTGGGCTCAATGGAATCACTGAGGCTCAATGAGTAATGACTACGTTCATGTTGCAAGATTTCTGAGCTATTTAAGTCATTAGGAAGTACTTCTCATTGCTTCTTGAAGAAAGGAAATGCATGGCACCAGGACTTCCTTGCATTGGCAATTCTAATTGGCCTCAAGAGAAGGTGGATCTGAGAACAGGGCATAGGAGAGTGTAAGACTTGATAAAGCAGAATCATTGACTCTCAGTGATGCGTGGGCTTATATGTATTTTATTCGAGTATGTGACTTCTAATAATACAATTTTCTTTTTATTTAGGACGATGAATTTGTTGTTTCGTTTAGAAAAATTCTGGCCTGATTTTAGTACTGGAGGAAGGTGACTTGAGGTCTTTGTTGATGAGTCTGGAGGTGGAAGCAGGCAGACTATTTGCCTACTTCCTGCCTTCACCCGAGATTCCCACCCTCACATCAAAAACATGATGCTGGTTCAATTTCAGAGGCAGAATCAAATCATGACCACAATTAGTGGAGGATAAAGTACTGTCTGTTTGGGCACTCAACACTGTTGGTGATCCTTTTATGAATCTGCCATAATCATCTTCTCTCTAAATCGGACTCCTTTCTTTGGCTGTCTCTAGAAGGTTCCGTTCACTCTCAGCTATCATTTCTCTCACATTGCATTTGAGAACTCTAGATTCAACAAGTACTTTCTCATCTTCTCACACTATTGAGCCACGGACTCAGCAGCACACACCCATAATGGACTTCCTGTTAGTGTAAGTGTCCTTACCTGTGTGTGAGGCTACTACACCTGTGAACTGACTGCTATGTGTCTTCCTTCTAAAACACTGTACATTTATAAAATGTCCTCTCTCTACTCTCTATGTCAAATAGGACCTTGAATTTCAACTAGTTTATAGATATGATTTAAAATTTCCTTTTCCTGTGAAAGTTGTAACCTATGCCAACCCAAGCCTGCCTAATGCGTGTCTTCCTCACGGTACAGCACTGTGTCTCTGATGATTTTTACACTCTCTCAGCTATGCATGACTTCTGTTCCCTACCTCCCACCCACACTCACTTGTTGAGGGTATGTGATTCCAAGTCACACATCTGCCGTGGTGTTTTACTTAAATATTGAACAGCAGTCAAGACGATCCTCACCCTGTTCTGTTGGGTAAAACTCAGGAGCTTAAAACACAATTGATTATCAATTAGGAGCTGATGAATATTCTGGATACTTACTTCAGTTAGTATGTAGTTTTGTTGACCTAGGCTGGGTTAGTTCTAGAATGTTCTAGGATAAACCAAGGCTGTGGCTTTACATATTTGGCCAATAGTATTCTACTACTTCTTCCTAGCTACAAAACAATGACAGTGCTAACCCATGCCAGGTTTGGCCTTTTATGTTGTTTAGAGGCACAGTCTTACTGTGTAGTCCAAACAGCTTCCCAGTCCTCCCCTGTTCCGACATTACAGACAAAAATCACCATCCTTGGCTAATTCTTGCCTTTGTGTGTGCTTGCTAATATGGAGAAAAGCAGTTTGCTCTTGATATTTATCGCCAGTTGAGCAAATTCATTTTCAGGTGTAGTGAAGATGCATAAGAACTCAGCAGAGTCTTTTTCCAGTTTGTATTGTCTGCATAAAGGATTACAACAAGGATAGAGAATCGCTAAATATGCTTAGAATTACTCATCTCTCCGTGGAGAACTGTGTGAAGAGAAAAGTCCTTTTAGGATAAGTACATGCTGAGAGAGAGAGAGAGAGAGAGAGAGAGAGAGAGAGAGAGAGAGAGAGGGAGAGAGAGATTTTGGTGTGATTGGAAAGGCTTGCAGCAAAGTGGGTTATCTCTGAAATACATGAAATCTTTTCATATGTAAATAAAGTAAAACTTGGCAGCTGTACCATCTGTGAGAATGTGAGAGTTCTGGGAAAATGAGTCATTCAGTGACAAAGATATGAAACCGGTTTTGAATGTAAAAATATGTGAGCTACTTAAGAGTGCCGGATGCTGGCGTTAGCACTTACTCCTGGCAGTAGAGTATCTAAGATTGACAGAGGCATCTTGAAGTTAACAAAGACTACAAGTCGTGAAGGGGAAAAGCTGTAAGTGGTTGCTACCATTAACACCACGTTTTACAAACTGGTCCAATGTGGAATCAAATCTTAAAGTGTTATGAGATACCTCATAGTTCTGCTGCATTCTCTGGGCCTGAGCTACAGCTACAGAGACAATGAGCCATTTGCCAGTGGGATGTGTGGAACAACAGACACATGCAGGACAGATGCAGCTTGCCAAGTCTCATTTCTTCCTTCTCTGTGTGGCATCGGCTTGCTTGAGAGAAAAGCCAGGTGCTAATTTTGATGTGTTTTTAAAGTGTTTACGCCCCCCAAATAATCTTGTGTCAGCTCAGAAATTTGCTAGCCTGTCTTTAAGATAATATGCTTGAGCTTTCACATGCAAAAAAATTGGCTTTTTAAAACTTTACACGCAATGAGAGAGACAGTTAAATTTTGCCGTGCAATGCACACCGCAAGCTGTGCTCAGAACTGTCCACATCGTGACTTTTCGAATGGCAGCTCTCGACAGTCTACACATCTCGCCTCCCTTCCATCTCCCATCTCCGTACGTGGGCTCTCCAAATCTGAGTTAAAGTGGAAATTCCTCACAGGGAAACAGGATCAGCTCTACTAGGTGTCTGTCCTCCTCGACAGTAAATATACACAGCAGAGACAGGCTTCTTTTGAATGTTTTGGAATTTTCTGTTTATTACGGAATATGCTATTTTTCTTGTAAGGGAAAAAGAATGATCACCAAAAGCCCAGAAACTAACTTGATTAGCTTTCTTTATTCATGACATTGGAAAAGTACGGAATCAAACGGAATTTCAGTTTTTCTCATCAATTTTAAATATAACATTGACTGTTTCTGAGATTTTAAACTATTTGCAAATGATAACAATATTTATGAACTTCAGGAATTAAAATTAGTCTACATATAGTACTTGAAAATCCAGTACTGTGAAGAAGTATAGTGTTGCCAGAACTCAGGAGGCACAGCAGGCAGATCCCAGTGAAGCCAGATCTATAGGGTGAATTCCAGGACAGTCAGAACTCCATAGTGAGAACTTGACTAAAAATAAAACCACAAGCAAGCAAACAAACAACCCACCAAATCCAACAATACTGCTAGTGCACAAGGGTGTGTATTTAGAAACCTTCCTGGGGCGGGGGGTATACGCTGGTGTCACACTGCCAGAAGGAAGCCAGGGCTACCACTGTTTCCTAGGCAACTTCAGGTCAAGTTCTGGGGCTCTACTGACCATTATGAGCAGGGAACTAACTTTCTCCACACTAGGCCTAAGATAATTTATACAAGTGAACTAACAAGATAACCAGCTCTCAGGAATGTAGCTCATTTAACACGGAGACCAGGATAGCATACTAATTCTTTATGTTATTGGTTCACTTTTTTACAAACTACAGAGTTTACCCAGATATCTACACTCTTAGATGACCACTTTTTCTTTCAAAAATGTCCTTAAAACAAAGTGGCATTGTGTTACTTGAAGTGAGGCAGGGATAACAGTGATCAGTTCCATTTCTTCTAAGGTGACTTGTAAGATCATTTGTTTCTGTCTCTGTTCTCACAGACAGTTTAGAAATGCCTTTTGAACTGACAATGAAGTACATGATTTGCTCATTGATTAATTAATTAAAGTCTGGCATATTCATTTCAGAGGTACCTAAGGATCAAAATTATGTTCTTTTAAAAATTATTATATCAGAAGAACACCCAATAAATCCTCTTCTAAGCCAATAAAAAGAAGTGTGAAAATATAGTGGAGTGACTGTTTGCTGTTTAAGTGTTAAAGAAGTATTTCTGACAGGAGCCTGATACAGCTATCTCCTGAGAGGCTCTCCCAGAGCCTGACCAATACAGATGTGGATGCTCACAGCCAACCGGACTGAGCATAATCAGACTGAGCCAATTGGACTGAGCACAGGGACCCCAGTAGAGGAGATAGGGGAAGGATGAAAGAGCCAAAGGTGTTTGCAAACCAGTAGGAAGAACAATATCAACCAACCAGACTCCCCAGGGTTCTCAGTGATTAAAACACCAACCAAAGAGTACACCTGGAGGGACCCATAGCTTTAGCTGCATATGAGGCAGAGGATGGCCTTATCTGGCATTAATGGGAGGGGAGGGCCTTGATCTTTGGAAGGCTCAATGCTCCAGTGTAGGAGAATGCTAGGGTGGTGAGGTGGGAGTGGGTAGGTGGGTGAGGGAGCATCCTCATAGAAGCAGGGGGAGGGAGATAGGATAGGGAGTTTGCAGAGGGGAAACCTGGAAAGGGGATAAGATTCAAAATGAAAATAAATAAAACAACCAATTAAAAAAAATCAAATTTGTCCCCTTTCTTAACTTGCTTCATATTAAGCCCCATCATACATTGCCAGGAGAAATTACATCATGTTATTTAATTTTTAATTCTGTGCCATACACGCAATGCGTGACCTGAAAGTTTATAGTAAACTTCAGGTGCACAGTTGCAGTCCCTTCATATTAACAGAACGCGATGGACTTGGAAGTCTGGAGCACATTCAGTTGGTGGCTCTGTAGTTCACATGGATTTCTGGTTTCAGGTCGCACACCATGCTCAACAGCTGCTTAACCACGCTTTCCATACATGTGTTGTAGCTTCCGTTCAGTTCTTTGATCTTCTCTAGTGTTTGTTCTTCTATTTCATCCGAGAGGTGGCTCTGAGAGCCCATTATCTATGAAAGCAAATTATGAGGTTTATTTGAATATATGCCAGATCAAAACAGTTAAATTGAATTATTTAATAAACTTCAGCATATTTTGGATGGTTACTTTATGGTGCGATTTTTTTTTTCTTTTTTTCTAGAATTCTTTCTTCTGGGAACAAACAAGACCATGAAGATCCTGGATGTGAAGAATAACCATCCCTATTAGCATCTTCATATCAAGTTCTTAGTTGACAGAAATATAATGTAACAAAGAACTTTCTTGTATCAATGTAAAGGAATGCTGCAGCGGAACACTGGGAGAGTTATCATTTTCCAAAAGCCAATGGTTTGCTCATAATTTCTCTCTCTCAGATTATGGGTGGTGACCCCTCTGGGAATCAAATGACCCTTGCATGGGGTCCCCTAAGGCCATCAGAAAGCACAGATATTTACAATGCATAACAGTTGAAAAATTGCAGTTATGGAGTAGCAATGAAATAATTTTGTGTTTGGGGGTCACCAGCACATATGGAATCGTATTGTATTAAAGAGTCACACATTAGGAAGGCTGACAGCCACTGCTCTAAACTCAGCCACTCCTCCTCTTTCTTATCTTCCCCCTCTCCTTCCCTCTCTTCCTCTTCTGATTTTTAAGAATGGCTCTCATGTAGCCCATCTTTGCTTCAAACTCGATATGTAGCTGACAATGACCTTGGCCTCTTCTTCTTCTTGCCTTCACCACTTTAGTGCTGAAATTACAGCATGTGTGTCACTGTGCCCCATCTGTGGGTTCTGGGAATTGAATCTAGAACTTCATGCATGTGAGGCAAAAACTCTACCAACTAAGCTACATCCCCAGTCAACTTGACCTTTCTTGGGAGTTTTTAATTTCCTTTCTGTTTTAAAAGCTTTGTATTTAATACAATTCTAGCCATGCATTAGTGATTGACTTCTGCTGCAGAGTTGGTGAGTCACTTCAATTTCAGAGCACTGGCTCTCAACCTGTTGGTTGTGACCCTCCCCCAACTTTGGGGAGGTCAAATGACTCTTTCATAGGAGATGTATATCAAATATTCTGCATATGAGATATTTACAACAATAGTAAAATTATAGTTATGAATTAGCCTTGAAAATAATTTTATGGTTGGGTGTCACAACAGCATAAGGAAATGTATTGAAAGGTAGCAGCATTAGGAAGAGGAAAACCATTGATCTAGAGTCTAGAAACTTACTGAGTCCTAAGCTTGAAATGAAACACAATTCAGACCACTGGGTCTATGTTCTTTTCTGTTTATATGCCAGGAACCAGGAGAACACATCAAATCAAAGAGTGTAATTCTGAGACACTACAGTCCTTGAGAGCCAAGATGACCTTAGATCAAAGGAATTGTGTGTAGATGAGTGATAAGAAGTAAACTTTGCCTATAGTCAATTCTGTTTTAAAATAGTTGAGAACTACTTAACAAAACAATTCCACAAAATGAGTTTTTCCCTAAATTTAGTGTCTTAAGTGGGATTCTACAAAGATTCAGTTAAAAGTCTTATGTCGTAAAAACATGTAAGATGGATACTTGTCAAAGTATTGCCTATGCTCAGTACATATTACGGAAGTGTGATGCTCCTCTTGTATTACAGAAAACTCAGTTCTTGTCGTTTATACCCCACATAGTCCAAAGCCTGAACAATTGAGTCATTTTATGAATCAGAAGTTGGTTATTCCATAGCATGCTATGATACATTTGAGCCAAGAGTACTGTTACTAAAGAGTGTGCCAGTTTTCACATCTTGATGCTCATGGTGAGACACTTGATACTGTCCTTTATGATTGTAATATTCAAGAAGAAGGGCTAGAACAAGATGCTGACACCAGAAGACCATGTGAGGGAAGATCTGCTCTAATGAGTTTATGCTATGCTTGATGTAGTACAGGCTATGGTTACTTTCACATGGGCACTTTTGATCACTTAGCTGTAAAATTGGCTAGGAAGTCTAATCTCAGAGTGATGAGGCATTATCATCCAATGCAGAGAGCAAAGCTCCTGTAAGATTTACATTGGATCCTTCCTGTGAAATAACGTTGCATGAGGTTTAAACAGCCAGTTTCTAAAATTATGGTCAGTTTTGTTCTTACTGTAAAATTAGATGTAGTGGTCATATCAGAAGCACTTACAGAAGGTAGTCAGAGCAGGCTGTTGTTGGAGATGGCTGCCCTCTCTGTTCTAGTACGCCATTCTCATGACAGGCTTCACTAGCAAGGATAATGAACACAGGGAAATGCTTACTGATTTGTTATTCTGACAAGGGCCTCTTGGATGTCTACTATGGAGCAGTCGTAGGAAATCTAAGGAAACAGCAGAGAACACAACAAAGAACCCATAATTTCTAGACTTTTAAGTCTGCAGTGGTGGACAACTGCAATAAATGCAAATATACAATGATATCATAAATGCTATGAAGAAAAATTAAAGACTATACTATTTTCATTTGTTTTTAAAAGAGAGGTCACTTTAAATAAGGTGGTCAGGAGGAGAAGCTAATTGTTGAGCATGGATAAAGAAAGATGAGCGTGTCTAAACACAAGAGGGCTGTGAGGCGTGGGAACACTGAGTAAAGATCCCATGGAGGTCAGATGCTCTTTCTCCCTAGGAAGGGAAGAGTAAGTGCAGTGAGAGTAGAAAAGTTTAAAAATATGCAGAAAAATATAAGCCCCATGAGGGCTGTGCCCATGTGCATGAATAAGAGCTTAGGAGTTTGGTTTCTGAACACTAGCAGAAAAAAATTTATTTTTCTAATTTTCCCACTATATCCTAAAGTAAGTAAATGTGTGTGCATGCGTGTGCATGCGTGTGTGTGTGTGTGTGTGTGTGCTAAGAACTGAACTCAGAGTCTAACACCTCCTGGGCAAACACTCTACCACTAAGCTATATGTTCCTATTCTAAAGAGGACAATTATTTGAACAAAGAACTTACCGGGAAAGTTTTTTTTTTTTCTTTTTACAATTGGCTCTAATTTCTGAATTCTCCATGAATTCTTCGTGTATTTCTTAAAATAAAAGTTGTAAATGAAGCTGTCTAAACTCTTGTGCTTTGGTTTGCAATGACAGGTTTCTGAATAGTATTATATTTATTATTTTAATGGTGCAAAAATATGTCACACAACTTAGCTTTGATAAATAGAACTTCGTGCTTTTTCTAGACCTGTTTGCAACATGGCATGGTGTTCGTTCTGAAAATGTCATGCTCTCATTTTTTATTTTGTTATATTATTTATTTATATGTGTGTGTATACATGCAGAGGCCAGAAAAAATATTGGATCTCCTAGAGCTGAGTTACGGGTGGTTGTGAGCTGCGGGATGCTGGTAATTGAACTCAGGTCCTCTGAAAGAGTGGGAAGTCTCTTGACAACTGAGCCATCTCTCCAGCCTGATCATGTACCTACCTTTCACTTCAAGCTGCATACACTTAAGAATGATAGTGTAAAAAAAAAAAGCCAGTTTTTTTTTTATATTTAAATGAATAAAGTTACTAAACACAGGTATCCAGTTGTCAAGGAACCCTAAGGACATAGTATGGGCTTTCTTTTTTTCTTTGTTTTCGAAACAGGGCCAGGATACCTTGAGCTCAGATCCCCTTGCTTCCACCTCCTGAGTCTGGGATTAGGACAAATATCTACTTGGCTCCATTAAAAAAGAGTTGGTCTAACAAATTCTTCTGCACCTTAGTCGGAATAGTATTCACTGATCATTGATTCTGTTATTAAACATTAATACACACACACACACACACACACACATTTTTGTGGTAAGAATACTTCAACCCTTTCAGTTGTTCGTTTGATGATGTGAGCACAAATGTTCACTGCATATCAGATAGCAACCGAGTGGCCTTTATGCATGAAAGTGAAGTCAGTAACTTACTTGTTTAAGACTTAGTCAGCCGTATGTTCAGCCTTGGCTGGACTGTATCTGCTGAACTCCAGCAGGTTGTTCTAGTGTTCTGTCTCACCATTTACACACAGGGACACCTCGTCTGAGTAACTGGATGCGGTGCCGGAGTGTCTTGCTCACCTTAGACTGCTTCAGGCGGAAGTCCTTCTCCCTCTGCATTCTGTACTGGTCCGTCTCCGCCACGGCTTCTTCCTTAGCTTGCCTCAGTCGCTTTCCTTTTCCTGAGGATTAACCGCAACAGAAGTAACTTTGAAAACTATCTTTCTGATCCAGGGTCTCACTATGAAGTCCTAGCTGGCCTGGGACTTGCTTTGTACTTCAGGTTGGCCTCAGATTACAGCTGCCACTTGGGTGCTGGTGTTAAAGGTGTGCATCACCACACCCGCGACCTTCATTGAAGCACTGGTATTGGTCTTGCAGAAGATACGATTTCAGTTCCCAGATTTAATTTCTAATGGTTCCAACTGCCTGTATCTGAGTGTGCACACTCACTGGCACAAGCTCACAGACAAAAACACACTTCAGAAACTAGTAATAAAAAATAAACGTTTGAACTGGAGAGAGAGCTCAGCCATTAAAGGTAGCTTATTCATCTTCTAAAGAACACAAATTAGGCTGCCAGCAAAAGACTTCTCTCTTAAAGTACATTGGTGAATCTCCCCTCTGCCCTCCTTTAAAAAAATTTTTTTTCGTTATGTCAAACTTCGTTAAAATAATATTCAATTATTTTTGGTTTCTTTTCTTCAATTGGATTCTTTAGAGCACAGAATGATAACCTTCTTTCACACTTACATGTTAATGTAAAATATCTATCCATATACCCACAGCAGTAACAGCTAGAGAACAGCTTTTAGCTGTCACTTACTCAAAAAAGACATCATTTGGTCAGATTTTATTTTTTAATTTTTTTGTCCTGACTAGTTGCCAGGCATCCTTCAGTCCACACCAACTGGATCCTATTTAGCGCTGGCAGATCTCCAAAATCATTGCAGACTGCAGCTCCGACTCTATCAAATGACTTTCAATTTTTAAAGCATTTTATTGGGATTTTTTTCTTCCCATTTGCTACCTTAGAATGTCTGATTAAGCCCCACAACACATCAAAGTAGTTTTTTTTTTCTTTTTTCTTCTGGTAGCTTTCTCAGAGGGGGACTTGAAAGAGGCTGTAAAACCAATTGTTTTTAATGGTTGGGAGATTTAGCTAAGTAGCCTTCTCTCCTTTTATTAAGAGCAAAGGTGTAAGCCTTAAGCCACAAGACAAGGTAGATGAAAGTCTTCTACAAACACAGCAGTGAGGACCATTAGTCATGCACATGAGGTGCATTCTTTTGAGAAGAGACTGATATTAATGGCCACCATGTCCCCACCAGGTTCCACTTTCTGGGGGCCAGGCACAAATTCTCTGTAGCTTTAAAACTTTAAAGAAACTCTGAACTTTATTTTTTTCCCTCGGAATCATTGCCATTTTAGATGCCGTAATCTTTGTTTATCTGACATGGTTTATTCTCTGATCATGTCTTAAGTTCAGGTTATAAACTTTGTTAACTGTTATACTATACACAGTTTTAACTAGATACGGACTCATTAAGTAGCAAGAAGGAATTTTTAAAATTTAATTGTATTTATTCTCTCTCTCTCTCTCTTCTCTCTTTCTCTCTCTCTCTCTCTGTGTGTGTGTGTGTGTGTGTGTGTGTTTGTGTGTCTCTGTGTGTATAAATGTCAGAAGACAATTCACTTTGTAGAGTTTGTCTTCTCTTTACATTTTTGTGTGGGATCACACTCAAATTCAGCCTTCCAGGCAAGGGATTTTACCTGTGGAGTCATCTCACTGAAACAACCAGGAAAAAAAAGTTAATATAAACATTTATCTGCCACCTGTATCATTGTAGCATTTGTGCTAAGAGCAGATGGCTTCTAAGCTTCTCTCCTAGCTAGGCAGGAGTTGTTTTGGTAGTTACTGAAAACATACTTAGAATAAAGACTGAGTCACGGAGTTACAAATTACCTTCTGCATTTGGGTAGAACTGTAACACTTGTTCAGGATAGATAATTATCCCTGTTTTCACTCACTTTAAGTATAAAGTCTAATGGAAATTAATATTGCCTTGATGCTGAAGGATTGGTGAAACACTCACAGCATGACTTGCCTTCTGCCTATTGGCTAATGCTTCCTGACATTTGTATAACATAAATGCTTCGAGACCTCATGGCTGTAAGCAGATCTTGGCAGTAGACATCGCACTCACAGAAATTCCTTTGTTACATCTTCTCATTAACATCAGTACAAAAATACAAAATATATGTTAATATTTTCTTAGTGATGACTGGTATTACCTTACAGATTGAATGGTGCAAAATATCCTTGCTCCCCACCTTCATCCCATAATAGGGAAAATTACCGGTTTCAAAGTTGTGACTCAGTTACATTTTGAAAACGACAATAAAAGGAAAAGCTCTGTGTGCATGACCCCTGAGCAGAGTCCAGCACTGCCCTAAGAGGCTCCATCACACAGCGATGGGCTTGGAGCCGGTCTATGATTCTCCTGTTGTGGCCGTGGTCACCGGCTGGTTTGCATTCAATTACAGAGGAGAGTCAACAGGAAAACCACTGCTGGCACAGCAATTTTCTGGATAGACTCAGCAGCCGACGCCGTGTGAGAGCCTGCATACGCTACACCTGTTTTAACCCAGTGGAAGAAACGAAGGCCTAAAGCTGATGCTTCAGTTAGAGGTGACGCGAAACGCGAGCATCAAATCCACGCGTACTAACCTCTAGCTTGCTTCTCTCTGTCTATGGGAAGAGGACCAAAATTTGGAAGTATACCTATTTCTTAACTATTACAACAGTTCCTATGAACTAAAAGAAGTTCATATTTTTATTTCCAATATACTCTTTATTAACATGGAGATGAGGGCATGGGACAACCTGGATTTTTTTTTTTTAATATAACAGTGGAATTTATAGGCCCACAGTACTTACAAGGATACACAGAATTACCAGGATAAGAGTTCTGATTTGGAGCTCAGAAAATATATTCATTGTATGTATCATGTTTTATAGGTGGAAGATGAGATCCTTGACCTCATGAAGCCTGGACGCCCCAGGGGGTGGGAATTTTGAGGGTGGGAAAGTGGGAGTCGGGGGGTAGATAGGGGTTACATCCACAGAGAAGAAGGAGGAGGGGTAAGGGGATAGGGGGTTCCCGGGTGGGTGGGGGATGGGGTAAGGGGACAACATATGAAATGTAAATAAAATATCCAATAAAAAAAAATAAAATAAGCGTTAAAAGGGTGCTGCAGAGTGGATCCAGAGGGAAGGGTTGCCTTTAGTCTCCAGTTCTTTGTCTGGTGATTCTTGACTACCTGCCATATAAGCACAGAGCCAGACACAGAGAATGCAGAAGTGTGCAGCGCATATGGTCTTTGCCATGGAAAAGGTGCTATTAACTCAACATCGTATGGAAGTATGTACATCCTGCCTCAGCTTCCAAGAAAAGCATTATCAAACAAATATCAAAAAATTTCAAAGAACATATAAGATCCTATTGGGAAAAATAATGACACATAAATCTTGTTTCTATTTGTTCTGCAATCATTGAACAATTTATAGAGAGGAACATCTTAGGCTTGTGGAACATAGAGACTTTTCCTCAACCCATGCCACCATTCTGCATGTTTATGCTAACTTTCTAAGTCAGGGATCTAAACAGACATCTCCATCAGGGGCTACACAAAGAATGGTTAGGAGCTTCATAAGAATGACAGAGGGTGTCTGGACAGCTGAGTGGTGGACAGGCCAATCTAGGAATTAGAAAAGGACAAGCTAGTTTGGGAGACTCCGTAAATAATTCCACCTGAGTAAAGTCAGTCACTTATCCATATTTGGTCTGTTGTACAGACAGACCTGTTCTATATCTAACCAGTAATTTAACTCAGAGGGACCCTGTAATGTGTTTTCTGGGGAGGAAAAGGGATGTGGTCATATTGGAGTGATATTCCAATGTGTGGGAAAGAATTAAAAAAAAGATTAACCAGGGCAAACCCTGCTTATGGAAAAATAGGGTTTCTTTCTATCATCTCATGAGAGAATCAGAATTACACAGTAGAAATCACAAAGAAGATACTGAAAACTTTGAAACCATGAGAAAGTCATTTAGAATTTCTGAATCTTTTTCTCATCCATATTGAAATAATCATGTACTACACCAAGTCATTTTGAAGATTAGGAGAAGAGATTCAGGAAGCGCAGGGTGAAGACTAGGTGGTTCTGAATACCTTTACATGGGAGACATTGATATGAGGACACGTCCAGGAATGTCACTAGAGAGCCTCCTGAAGTATCCTCTGGGGATATCCAAGGGTTGATAAACAGAATTCAGGAGGATGGATGGGGAGGGAAGATAAACATGTAGGTCATCAAAGTCTTTGTATGTGCTAATTGTGACAATGGTGTCTGGGCAGAAATCAAAGAAGAACACACAGAACGAAGAGAACAGGCATATAGTAGAAAAGAACGGAAAAGCAAAAGAGACAAGAGGATATGATTCACAGTATACAAGCTACAGAGAACTGAAATGAGGCACCTACTGGGTTAGTATTACTGAACATCTAGTGTGAATCTTTGCACTAGTGTAGATCTTTGGGTATAGCAGTATAAGTTCACAAACCTTATTATCTGTCTGAATTCTGAATATAATCCAGGAGACTGATCACAGACAATATGTACATAACACGACAGGGATATTGAACACTAAGAAGAATGCAGGAGTCTGAGGGTAGAGAGAAACTGTGAGACGTTATGGTTAAGATAGATGGGCTCTTTTGGATCAAATGGCAAGAGAGCATAGGAGTAAGTCAAATAGTCCTGCAGCTACCTGAAGGGCAGGCTTCAACTGGAGCGAAGGGACATCAAGCACAGCAGATCCTGAGGAAGGAAGTATGGCATGCTCAAAGAAGAGCAATTCTAGAACAAGGAAGTAGGCTTCAGACATGAGAATGACTTTGGGCTAGGACAGAGAAGTTGACTCAGATATTTTGATCATCCTGATAAGCCTCTAGAAACAGTGATCACGGGAGCATTCCGGAATTTTGTTTATTGTCTTGCTTGCTCTTTGGCTTTTGGGGTTTATTGTTGTGCTTGTTCCTTGACTATTTGCATCTATTGTATTGCTAGTCTGTCAACCTAGAACTGATCTTAATACTTGCATATAATTAAAATGGTATAAAAGCAAAAAAGGCGTAGGGGGA